GAAGAAAGTGAAAGCAATGCGCACACGGACTCGCCGGACCGAGCGGCTGATGAGATGGAAAAAGAGATGGAAAACGAAAGCTTTGTCAACGAAGTAGAAGCTGAGGACAAGGTGACTGATGAACTCTATGCGGAAGAGGTAGTTGTACCGCCGGAGGAAGTTCCTGTGGAAGTAGATACATTCAAGTTTGATGACGAGCCCCAAACTGGTGACATTGAAATTGCAACGAAGGAGGACATGCCGGAGGAGGATATCATACCTGTTGATAAGGAGTCAGCAGCCATCAAGGAAGAGACCTTCCCATTTACATCTGAAGCAGAGGATGATGTTACATCGGAATCGACTGATGTGGTGGAGTCTGATGATCCCCCAGCAATTGAGGAGTCGGAGGATATCCCACTAGCTAAGGAGGCTGCGTTGGATGATACCAACGACGTAGAGGCTGAGCCGGAAGATGCCAACGTCGAGTCGGCTGATGTTTATAACACTGAAGTTATTGAGACCCTTACCGTGGATGACGCTGTTTTTGCCTCAGTTGAAGAGACTGAGTCAGTGAATGCCAATGTGGAACCAGCTGACGTTGATATGGCTGAAGTGACGGAGACTACACCAAAGGACGACTCTGTACTTGCCCCGGTCACGGAGACTGAGTTCGTTGATAGTGACGATGATGAATTTTCCGCTTCCACCAAGGCTGACGCAGTGAATGCCATGGTTGATGTTGTGGAAGAAGCGTCTGACGCTACCGTAGAAGACGCAGACAACACAGAATCCTTGGATGAAGAGAACGCTATGGAATCCGACGACGTCGTCGAGGTCGAAGTTCTACAGGAGGGTGTGGACTTGTCGTACACTGAAACCGTTTCGGATACCAACCAAGAGGAACTGACCGCTGAGTCCATCGAGATTTTCTCCTCTGCTTTGGAGGATGAGCTTGAGCCGGTAGATATTGAAGAAGATGCATCGTCTGAATTAAGTGAAGCAGAAGCGGAGAAGCCTGTCGAATCGGAAAATGTCGCTGTGGAATCGCCTGAGTCTGAGACTGACTCAGCTGAAGACACCGTCATCATTCCTAGTATTGCTGACACCGTTGTTGAAGTGAAGGAGTTGTCGTCAGATGCGGACGTTCTCACTGAGGCGACTGATGGGGAAATGGAGAGGGCTGAAGAGGAGTCGGTTCGCTCCGAAGAATTGGAATTGAATGTTGAGCCTGACCTGAACGAGGAGGAGCCAGATACTGTGGTGGTGTCTGTCGACGTTGACGAGGCCCCGGTGGTGCAGTCGGAGAATGGAGATGAGGTGGCCAGCACATTGAGTGAAGAAAATGAGGTCGAGGTAGAAAATAACGAGCTTGATGTTGTGGTGGAAGTCGAAGTCGAGACAACGGCGAATAATGACGAAGGGGAAATGAGCGCTTCCGATGAAGACCATGGGGACGAAGAGGTCATTGTGGAGCTAGACTCTGAGCTGCCTTCCAGTTCTAACGATGTTGACGTGGTAGAGCCACTGTCTGAGGAGGGCAGTGTCGGTGTGTCGAACGAGGGTGCTGAGGTTGCCAACGATGTGTCGAATGATGAAGAGCCTGTTGCAGCCCCTGTTGCTGTGGTGGAGTCTTTGTCAGAAGATGCTGATGTGAAGTCGGACGAGGAGGACGCTGAAGAGAATGGCTCAGCCATTCCTGTTGAGGTTGAAGCTTCCGTTCCCCAGTTGGATTTGGAAGAAGTCGTTGCTACAGTTGCCGACGAAACTGTCGTACACGAGTTGGAGGAAGCGCTCGAGAACGAGGCTTCTGAACAAAAGGAGGACCTTGAAGAAGGATTGTCTGCTTCCGCCGAGATTGAGTCGGTCGTAGTGGAAGGAGATGAGGAAGATGCAGTACCGGATTCTTTTTTTGAGAATGACGTGGAGAGCGTGGAAGTAGTTTTGGACGAGGAGGCTGATGGTGATGCAGAAGCGAGTACTTTCAGTGCGGTTGAAGAGGAGCAGTCTGCGTCTGAAGTTGGCGAATTCAGCGAACAGGGTGAGGAATCTGTGGTGATTGAAGCTACAGAAGCATCGATCGAAGCAGATACTGATGCACCTGATGCCACGGAGGATGGGACCGAGGAGATTGAGGATGTTGAGAATGCTGCATTTGCTGCTACTGAAGACGTAGAAACTCTTGCAGGGGATGATACTGAGTCTGCTATTGTTGCTGAGGAAGAGCTCCCTGATGCTGTGGATGAAGCGTTTGCTGTCCCTGCTGACGAAGAAGCTCTAGAGGCTATCGACGAGCCGGCGGCTGAAGATGTACCAGAGTTGGAAGAAGCCCCTGTTATTGAGGAACCGATTGCGTCGATAGAAAGCGCTGATGAGCACGCTGATATCACTGATGAGACTGAACCCAGACAAGCAACAGATGAATCATCGACTACGGCTAGTGAAGAGGAGGAAAGCGGCGGTCTTGCGTCCGCCGTAAACGAGGTGCTAGCGCGGCTTGTGGAGCCTTTCGAAGCGGCGAAGACCGCTGCGCCTGAAGTAGCAACCGAAGAAGAGCTTGCTTAGCAACATGAAACAAGTTAGAATTTTAGCGTGAACGCGTTTGTTTTGTAAAAAGCTATCTTATCTTGCGACGACAGAGTACTCGATTGCGCGGGCTTCATTAGCAAAGCAAGAAGCGTGTGGGGAGCATTTTGCGGTACCTTAGAACAAAAGCTCCATTGATGTTGAAGTCCCACATGGCTACATTTGTATCGCAAAGATTGCAGCTTCAGCAATTGCCAAGCATATTCTCTGGAGATGGAGAAGAGCGTCACGCCGCGGGACTCGCCGCCCCGAACGACCAAGCTCGACAACAACGCTGACTCCAGCCACACCTCGCCGCCTCCTCACGCACACACCTTCGGGTATACAGGAACGCACGTCGTAGCGAACCTCCGACGCGGCTGGAGACCGGAATCAGACGGTGGAAGACACGATGTGCGTATTCTTAGTGTACTCTCAGTCATTCATTAGCTGATATTTGTCTGTTACTGGTATTGTAGTCTCCACTTTTCAGCAGACACCGCAAGCGTCCGTCTTCTTCGTCCATAGACAGCAACAGGCGTAGAGAGAGCGAGACTTCAACTGTCACAGTCAATGGCGAGCAACAGGAGACCAAAGCTCAGCAGGCGTTGCCCTCTATTAAGCCAGATGTGACTGCAGCCCTTCCACCCGCTCTGGTTACTGCAATTAACGCTGAAAAACTATCAGTGCAACCCCCTCGAACTCCACAGGGACAGCCAACCTATACGACGTTCGATGACGGGGGTCTCAGTGCCGCTCAGCGCGTGAGGATGGAGCTATCTGGTAGTCGAGCTGGCTCGGGCTCTCGAGCAAACAGTTCGGAGGACATCTTTGTGTCCAACTCGCCCGTGTTCGACGAGAAGAAGAGCGGGCCGAGATCTTGTCCGTCGAGTTATAAGGACGTTGGTGGGAAAAGGGCCAGGTTATCGCCAGGTAAAGGACGACAGGTGCGGAGTGGGGAACTGATCGTGTCCAAGTTGCTGCCGACGCGTGACAATGTCAATAGCTTGTTGACGTACCTACATGAACTGCAGATATCGGAGGCCAGTCTGCGCAAACAATTGATGACAACGAAGCAACATACCGAAGAAGAATTGTACCAGTCACTGACGAAGCTTAATGAACTGCAACGCACTATGCAGAAAGTTGAGAGGGATCGACAGATTGCTGAACAGAGACTGGAAGAGAAGGAGCAGCGCATTCGTGAACTTGCAGCCAAGCTAAAGAAGGCCGAGACGACTCAAGCAAGACTCAGTCCTGCCCGCGGTAGTGGCTCACCCAGTCATGAACTGGTGGAGCAAACAGCGTCAATGGAACTGCAAACTCCTTCTCAGAATGCAAAGGTGCCGGGGCCTCCTACTGAAGAATCCCCGGCTCTCATATTGGAAGCGCTTCATCTTTCTACACAAACAAGTCACGTTGCAGCGTCTTCTTTGCGTCCACCTCAACTCCAGTCGATTAAGGACGAGACCGCTCAGTTTGCAGTTTTATCGCCGGGATCACCGAATCGACCACTTTGGGATCCATGGGCATCGGGTGGTGCAACCCCAATGAAGGACTTACCTCCCGTCTTCACGATAGGATCAACAGAACTACACCCTGTGGTGACTTCACCCGCGTCAACTGGAGAGCCAACCACGAACAAAGTCGACGATTTCGAGTTGAGATCAGTACTGATGTCCCCGCGCGGAGCACAAGATGAAGATGAAGCCACCGAAAGTGTCCATCCAACTCCACAAACAGATGAGCAGTACGTGTCTCCAGGTCTGCTGATCGAGCAGGAGGAGAGTACATTGATTGAACCACAGCACCATCCATCGCCATTAAGGCGACCATCGCCTTATCCGCAGCAACAAGGCGTCATTCCGATGGACGCACAGGTTGGAAAGTATGGAGTAGAGCTGCAAGAAGAGATATCGCTTACCGATTTTTCGCCGCAAATCGATTCGTTGCTGCACGTTGGAGCAATGCCTCCAATCCATGAGAGTCCATTGGAGCAGCAGGAGGAGAATGTCGATAAACTAGACAGCGCTGTTGAGGAGGCTGACCTGAAGAATAATGGCATGACTCCTCCTACTCCTCCAAATTTTGCCGAACCATCTACTACCCCACCACCGAAACCTATGGTTGAAAATACTGCTTCGGAGGTAGGCACGCTCCACAGTGAAAGTGTACAAGTTACTCAATCTGAACAAGCGTGGACTGATGAGGCCGAAAATACTGGTATTAGTATGCCCAGCATCCCACTATTGAGTCCTCCTCCCCCGCCTCCCTCGATGCCGGATTCGCCAGCTCAAAAAGAGAGCAAGGACAAGGATGCAGAGCCAGCCTCGTTGGAGACATTGCTGATTGATTTCTTCACGGAGGCAGACAAGAAACGCCTGAAGATGGCAAAGGTGTACGGAAAGAGATACGCGGGCCGTGAGAAGTGGCTGTTCGCTGAGCTCACGAAGCGATACGGCGCAGATAAAGTGGCTGCATTGAAGGCTCGATATGAAGATGGCATTGCTACTACTACGACCAACACCAGCAGTGACAGAAACGGTAAGCAGGACGACCACGTTACCAAGTCGCCTGATACCATTTCGAAGGCCGGGCGTCAAGGCCACCCACGCCATTTACACTTCTTCCATCCACCGACGCCTGCTAACAGCGTGGGCCTTGGTGCTGATATCCCACTCGTTCCCACTCCGAATGCTCCTTCCAAGGAAAACAATTCGCCAAACTCTCAGCGAGGCCAGATACTAGAAGGAGTTGGAGCCCCTCCGAGCCTGAGAGGAAAGACATCTACGGATCGCGCGGTTCGTGAGTCACCTCATCAGCTTCATTCCGTTAGCAACACCACTCCTGTCGCTGACCCTCCTCCACCGTTCCCAACTACACAAACGATTGATGAGACGGACAGTGCGGCTACAGCTAACGCCGGTCCGTCGATGACGAGTAGACCTCCTCCTCTGGTTCATCAGGAAAAACCAGCCAGTTCATTCAACCAACCTCAGCCTCCCTCCTTTCAACGTGGAATGGAA